TCGATTGGCGTCAGTCAGAGCTGGTAATACCTGGGCTAGCATACCTGAATCGCTCGTTGGTAACCTCATTCCAGCCATAGAGAACGTTGTTTACTTTCAATTTATCGATGATTAGTTTAACCTTTGCTCCCTTTGCTCTTTCATCCGCTGATGAAATCCATAGTTGTTTTCTGATTTCAACTACTCGTTTAGAGTAATCTTCGCTGATACTGAATTGTGTCCCCTTGAGGTTGCGGCAGTTTTTCAGTATTTTGGTTTTGTCCCTGAAGTCTCCTACTTTCAAGATGACTGGACGGCTTCTTCCAGGTATTTTCTTTCCTAGACGGTTTGTGCTAATATCTTCCTCAAATGCGCATTCATGCCACATCCCCATGGCAGTGGAGGCATACGATGCCACACTAAACCTTTGAAACAACTAGGAAAATGACACATTTTCTCGGGTTTTACCTTATGCAAATTTTCGCACTCATGATTAAACTAATTCGATGCTAACTTTCAGCTTTTGGCTCGGCGGTTTTCCTTTTGAAAACTTTACATCAAATCTTGTAATCTATACAAAATTAAAACGACTCAAACATGAATTTCCAATGTTGCCCTGAATAATTATACTTAGTACGCGCGTGCAACAATTACTCAACTGACCGTGCCCCCTTTTCTACAATAGATTCGCCTGAATCGCATCCGATGCGGTCGCGGTCCCGGCGGTTTTTCGAACACGCCAGAGGATACAAAATGCACAAACTCTAAGCAGTGCACTGCCGTCACACCTCATTTTCCACTTTGGCCTGTTCCCCTCAGGAATTTGAAAGGGACGCCAGAAACAGGGGGAAAACTGGGGCCACTGTCCCTTTGTGTTCGCCCCGACGCGGTTTTTAGCTTTTGTGATCCTTCGATGTTGACCCTTCGGACAAGGTCGCCTTCCTGAAGTTGTCGAACTAAAACGCGCCTTTCGTTTGGGTGATGCACCTCCTTTTCCTCCTCCAAAGCTGGCTCGCCGCTTGTGCCAGGCTGAACGCCACCATTGACGTTTCCTAAAACTGATTGAATGCCTACCCCTTCGTCTTTCTGGCGACGGGGTGGGACTAGTCCTAGGCTTAGGCAGTGCCGAACGCTTTCGCTTCTTTCTTTTTCGGCGATGTTTGCTTGCCTCTTTTCTCTCGATGCCATCATCATGTCCTGTCGTGACCTCAGAAGTCGGGAAGCTCGTTGGAGCTAGTGCTAGGTCTTCCCTCCCACTAACGCTTTTCGAACTCTTCGTCACGACGGACTGTTGGGCCAAATTATCTTTGTCAACGCTGATAAAACCATTGACTAGGCCCTCTCGGATGGCGTCGCTGCATTCCTGAAGCGTCGCGTCCTCGCTCTGATTCGCCACTGTGCTAATCATGCCTACATTTGACGATGTCGAAACGTACTCTTGAGGCACGAAGGAGGTTTCCAGCATCTTACTGGGCCCATTAGGGCTGCTGGCCCTCTTCTCATCCACGCAAGGAGCGTCTTTCGACATCGTCTCTACCTCCAGACCGGCCAAGGCCTCGTTCTCAGCATACTCTACCTTGATGCATTCTAGAATACGCGGGCCCTTTTCTGGCGCGATCTCTGATTCTAGCGCTTCCTGCCACACTTTAACGTCCATCGCTTTCCGACGCGCCTCGCTTTCAGACTGTTGTCTTTCTGTTTCGCGCTTTCTTTCAGACTCTTGTCGGAGCTGCTCTTCTTTTGTCCATACAGAAGTTCCGAAGGTCCGGAACATCTCTGCCTTAACTACCTCGTAGTTGTTCGCGTTCTGCTGACTGAGTCGCGCAACAGCTTCATTTGCCTCACAAGGCAGAACCGGGAGTAGCCCTTGACACCATGTGTCTCGCTCAAATGACAGTTCCTCGCCGGCATCGCCGTGCTCACTGCTGGATCGGCTCACCCTGCTACCCTCACTCAGGCGAATCTTTAATTGCAGTAACTGCGCTTCCCGTTCTCCGGCTTCCCTTGCCGCTTCTCGTTCTTTCGCCCTTTCTTCGCGTTCTCTCTCCCTTTCTTTTTCCCTTTTCTCCCGGGCCCGTGCCCGCTCTTCTCTGGCTTGCGCCTGTTCCTGCTGTTCCTTAACCCATTGTCTCAGTTCGGCGCCCTCGAGGCCTAACTGTTTACCGTACGCGATCCACTTATCAAAATTCATACACTCCATAATGCAACTGTCACTATAATGCCACTATAAAAACAGCGCAATCATTGCAGGATGCAACCGCTTCAACTGTGCGGCTCTATCACCACGCTGTCCGCACGGTTCTCGTTCACCCCTCACTGTCTTACTCTTGTACGGAACGTCCTGTCTCGCGGACGCCAGTTTTGTTACAAGCTGCCACTTTAGCGTCGCCAGCGCGAAGTCGGCGACGGGAATGACAGCAGGTTGGCTCGTTCCGTACGCAAGCAGAGACAGTGAAGAGATCAGAGACGTGAGAAAACAAAACAAACTTTACTCTAGTGATATTGCAGCACACGGGATCTAATACAACACTTCAATACAACTAACAAAATACATCGACACTTGATACAACTAAAGAAATATATAACAGAAACAAGAAATCAGCTTACGCGAGAGAACTATTACAAACTACACAAACTAACAAGAACAGAACGACGGAGGAGAAAATTCGAAGATATAAACAGGTGAAGGCATACGTGTGATGACCGGCAGCGTTGTGTCCCCGACGATCGGATGCGAGAAGTCGAAGAGAGTTCTGGCACGACTGCGATGTCGGTGGTGTTGCAACGCTGGTGGCTCCGGGAGGCTAGTGCTTGCAGGTGACTTCGAGCAGGTTGAGCTAACTCGAGGCGAAGTCCCGATGTCTACGTTGCAGACGTTAATATCGCGTCACAACTAGACGAACGGCTAAGTTTAGGTGGCCAGCCGATACAGAGCCACACTAAAAACTTCTAGAAGAGATGCTTGTTGATCTGTTTCTACACCATCTTGGTCAGCGACTAGTCTGCCTAGCAGGGCAAATACCTGCGCTTAAATCCCTCTCGTGTCTCCTCGCTCTCTTCCTTGGGGACAAGAGACCTCTACCTGGGTCCAATCATGCGCGTTTAATTGATGGGAAACTCCGCCCCAAAAATATTTTGACCCCACCCTTTTTTAATTGGGAGAGGGCTTTCAACTAGCGAGAGTGACAACCTGTCGAGTTGTTGTCATACGGCTTGACCACCAGAGCGTTTCCCACGCTTTTCCCCGTGGGAACGGTCAACCACTTAGCTCTCAGCGGGTGCGTCTCGTAGTCTAATCCTTGTTCGGGGTATACTGCGGCCTTCTACGACCTTGCAGACGCCGCCACAGTTACAAAAGGATTAACCGTCGGCGGCGACGTTCTAAGAAGAGCCCCCCATTTTGCACTTCTCGGCTCCCTTCCATGCGCCGCTGTTTCTCACGGTCAGTCGGGGAGTACGGCGCCCGTTAATTGCCGTGACGCGGTGTCGCCAAAAATAGCCGTCCGTGACAGTGAACAAAAAAAAGAAAAGAAAAAGTATCGATAGCTGCAATGGGACTTGAACCACCGACCTCACCAGTTGATGTGCTGCTTTAACCAACTACGCCACAGTTACCTTTTTTTTTCCCGGTAAACTTCACAAATGGGTTGCTAAAATAAATATATTACAATTCACAATGAACAATACAAAAAACTTAAAAATAACTAACCCTGTCAAGCATTACTAAAACACATCACGTACTAGAATTCCTTCATGGTCAGCAGGGCTTCTACCCTTTCTACCCATAAAGGTACACATTCGTCTGTTCTTACCACAACCTCCTCTATAAACTTACGACCTGCTCATGCCGCCGCTCCCCGTGTCGCCGGTTTTGCTTTTGCTTGTTTAGTTTTTTTAGTTCTCGAAAGTGCTGCAGCACGCCTTGGCGCCACAACTAACCCCCACTGCTGCAGCCGCCAAGCCGCTGTTCTGCTTGGTGCGTGCGTGCGTTCGCATGATCTTGTGGCACTCGAAGGCTATCGCCGCTATCGCTTGTCACCAGTAGTATGCGCAGTCAGGAGCGTTAGATAACGACAGCAGCAGCACCATTCCCGCAATGGTGTACTGCTGCGTTCCTTTTTGCAAGTCGAGCGATCGGCGGTCAACTGGGATATCGTTTCACGAGTTCCCCGTCACCCAGATTCGACAGGAGTGGTTGAAGAAGATCTCTCGACAGGCTGAAGGTAAGGCACTGAAAGTGCTGTATTACATGCACTGCAAGATCTGACTAGTGGAATGCAGTTCAAAACTTTTTTGCGTGCTATGTATGCTGCTCAGCGTTGTTGGCTGGCGTCTAGAAACACAAGTGCTGTTTGTGGGATTCGTGGACGCCGATCGTGTACACAGCCCATCAGGCCCTCAGCCAGGGAAAGGGGGGGGGGGGCACGTAATTCTGTTGAACTATGTGTTTTTACCAAAAATAAATAATAAAAATAGGCGTTTTTCTCAAATACTCAAGGTTTTCAGCAAGTGCCCCCCGCCACGAAAAAATTTCCTGGCTAAGGGGCTGCAGCCCATGCTACATTTTTCCTTTGTTGTACTGTCCTTTGTTGCCGCAAGACTCCGTGCACGTGGCCGTGTCAGGGATAGAGCACTTACTTTCAACTATTCCGCTCTGATGCACAGCGGTGTTGCTTTGTTGAGAAATTTGTTTTATTTATTACACTATTGTTTTGCGCTGGCGTTGTTTTATAACAAAATTAAGGGAAATAGGCGCAAATGGTTCTGCCCTGAACTGATGCAGCTGCTAATAAATTGAAATGGTAAGGGATTCAACTAGTGAATACACTAGAGATCCTTTTCTGTCACGTTGTGAAGGTTACTAAAAGGCTAATTCTTAATCGATTGCCTACTATCTGATAATTCTGGTGCGGTCCTAAATACAATATTTGTAGGACCAGGAAAACAGCCATGGGAGCCGAGCGACCGCAGCAAGGTATGCAGCTTGCATTTCAAGCCAGAAGATTACAGAGAAAGCCTGAAGCTGCGCAAACTAAAACCAGATGCCATACCTTCAATATTCCCGAGCTACCCAGGGTATATGCAGGAACCATCCCGAAAAGAGCGACAGCCTGTGAAAAGGTGTGCTGTGCCAGGGCTGTCACCAGACAAGCCTCATGCAGAAGCAAAGAAAAATAGGTAAGCTTTTTTTGTGTAATTAGTGTTTGTTTAGCCACGCCCAAATTTCTTCTAATACATGCTTCATCCTGTAACACGTCGAAATTCTTAATGTTGCAGGCCAGACATACCCTCTCCTTATAGGTCCCCGTCTGAGAAGATTGATGAGCAGGAAGACAATTGTGTGGCTGGCAGCAGTACCGCACATCAGGAGGATGAAATGCTGACAGAACCCTGCAGTGAACCCTCCTCTCTGCCTTTAATTTTGCCTGCACCTGAATCTTCTTTCTGCTTGCCTAAAACATATCAGATGCCCAAACATGGCAAAACTGTCCAGTGCCAGACAAGTCCATCAAAGGCAACCAGACCACGTGGAATGCAGACTAGGCTTTCACTGTCCCGAATGACCAATCTCCAGAGGAAAGTGCAAAACCTTACCCGGAAGTGTCAAAGGCTTCAGAAAAAGCAGCATCACCTACAGGAAGAGCTCTCCACTCTGAGGCAGGAGGCAAAAAAGGCGTCCTTGTTGATGAAGAGAACAAACGTCGAAATCCTCCAGGTGTGAACTTATCTCTTTTTGAACATTAAAAAAAATCTCATTACCTGCTCATATCATACTTGCAGCAAAAGGTGGAGGAGAGCGACAAAAAAGCTCTGTTCCTTCAAGAGCAGCTTGCTTTTCTGGGCTTTTCTGAGCAGCTTGCTTTTCTGTGATTGCTCAATCCACGCGTTAGAAACTAGAACAATGAGAGGAACGCACACACACGAGTGCACCACAACGGTCGTGCGTCGTCTGCTATGGGGGTAAGTGGTGGCGGCATCTGGCGGTACCTCCGGTCCCTACACGCCAATTTTTAGCTCCATACGCCTCCGTAGGGATGGCGCCGGTGAGCAGGTCGTAAGTTTATAGAGGAGGTCGTGGTTCTTACTACCTCAAGTAGTCTTGAGATGCTTTCTTTAAAATACTCTCTTGGTGGTCTTCTGTCTGGGTCACAATGAAATCCAGCCATTCTAGAGCGCCATATACTGTGCAAGGCAGTCATCATGATAAAATCGAAAGGTAATCCATCCTCATTCTCTATTGCCAAATACCTGATCCCATGAGGGTCTAACGGGAACTCTTTTTTGATTGTCCTTTGTAATACGTCCCAAAAATAAACTCCTTCCCAACAGTGCAGGAAAACATGGTCAATAGTTTCCGGTTTCTTACAGATTAGACAGTGAGATCCCCAAGGCATATAAAACCCACGCTCCTCTAGGAAGGTTCTTACAGGAAGTGTTCCAGGTGTAATTTGAAAAAGAACGTTTTCGCACTTGGAGCTGCTGGCATTTTTTTAACTCGTTTAAGTACATTCTGACTCTTGCGTGCTGTATATAGCGCTCTGTACAGTGGGATGGGGAGCATCGTGTCACATAAATCTTCGTACAGTTTTTCCTTTCCAACAGACCACAGGTAGTCAGTTGAAAAACGAACACACAAAAACCGCACGCTGGCCACAACTTCCTTCATGTATTCTTGCACAGCACCTGTGGTAACATGGGTGCTCACAACAATTTCGGGCAACAGTCTACTTAGTCTTGTTTGACACACTGTTAGTAGAAAAGGATCTCCAGTCTCACGAAAAAAAAAGAAAAACCTATTTACTAACTGCTTGATAAACAGATGTCCTAGCCCAAGACCTCCACACTTCACCCGTCTAAACAAATTCGTGCGACTGCACCTTTCCCAGTTAGACCCCCACACAAATATTGCAAACACCCAATGTAATTTTTGCACATTGACCCAGGAACACTACAGCACTTGCATCACATACCACAGCTTAGACACAAAAAACCAGTTGCATGCAGTAGCCCTAGCAAACATGGACAGATAAGTTGCATTCCACCTATTCACTTTCTCTTTAATTTCTTTCGTTTGCTGTGTCCAATATTCATCAGTACTTTTGTATGACTCGAGCGGTACTCCGAGATATTTAACTGGCGTTCTTGTCCATTTAATGGCTGCAAAAAATTCTGGTGTTGAAGGCCAATATCCATGCCAGAAGCCGAGGCATTTACCCCAGTTTATGAGGTTTCTTATAACTTTGGCGAAAGATTTAGAAACTCTGATTGATTCTTCAATACCTTCATAGGAAGTGCTACAAATCACAACATCATCAGCGTATGCGAGTAGTTTGACCTCTGAAGATTGTACTCTAAACCCATTAATGATGTCATTCTGCAATATCGACCGACATAAAGTTTCAATATAGATGCAAAACAACAGTGGACTAACAGGGCAACCTTGACGCACTGAGCGCTCAATTCTAATGAGGGGGCCCAATGTCTTGTTGATAATTAGTCTCGTACTACCATTCCGATATGCCATGGCTACTCCATCAATAATTATTTTACCAACATTAATGTGCTTTAATACTGCAAACAAAAGAGCGTGGGCAACGCAATCAAACGCTTTCTCCAGATCCAGCTGGAGAATGGCCACACGAGCTTGACTGGTGTCAACACATTCGATCACGGATCGCATTTTATGAACGTTTGTAGCTATGGACCGACCTTAAATTCCACACGTTTGGTGTGGACCGACGATATCTTTTATTACTGACTGAAGTCTAGCCGCCAAACTTTTCATTAATATTTTGTAGTCTACGTTTGTCAGTGCGATTGGCCTGTATGCTGTGACGTGCCCGAGCTTTTCAACCTCGTCTGTTTTCCGAATCAGAACGGTACGCGATTCACCAAAGGATGGTGGTAATTGCTTTTCCTGATATGCCTCATTAAAAATGCCCGCAAGTATCGAAGACAATTCACTTTAAAAACATTTGTACCACTTGGCACAAAGACCATCTGGTCCTGGAGATTTCCCCGGATTTAATTTATCAATCGCCCGTTCAGCTTCATATGCAGATATAGATAATTCCAAAGCATTTTTCACTTCCTCACTCACTTGCGGCATGCGTCCTAAATATTCTTCTTTAAATCTTTCTAGGTTTACCTGTCTACACGCAAAATGGTTTTCAAAATGACTTGAAAATACGGATAAAATGCTGTCCGTATCGGTTACTTCGTGACCATCCTTCTCTATTTTTTCGATATGATTCCGTCGAGCATTCGTTTTCTCCACCCCTAACGCTCCTTTGGTTGGCGTCTCTCCAGTCGCTAAAGCCTCAGCCCTAGCACGGACGAGTGCACCGCGGTAGCGTTCCTCGTCAAACAGAGCAAGTTTCTGCTTAATATTGCGTATGTCAATTTTATACTCTCCCGGTTGTTTGCACTCCAAGTCTATTATTCTTTCCAAAGTCTTTCGGAGTTCTTTTTCTTTCTTTTCCCTTTCGTAACTCAATGCCCAAAAACGATCAATAGCTTTTATTTTTATTCGCTGCTTGAACTCTTCCCATTCTTCTGCAGGTTTAACTTCATCATCCATTTTTATTTCATTGATACAGTTCCTTACCTGATCTACGAAATATTCGTCAGTTATCAAAGTGGAATTCATCTTCCACAACTCCCATGAGAAAGTTCCACCTTTTGTTTTCTCTCCCATATCACATTTAACTAAACAATGATCACTGAAGTGTATTGGGTAGACAGCATATGTCTTATAGTGGGCTATTAATTCAAGCGACACGTAAATGCGATCAAAACGCGCATGGCTATTCCTCTGGAAATGTGTGAAACGCAGACCCCGCGTTCTCTCCATACAGCTGCCCACGTCTTCTAACTCGAATTCAGTAACTACGTCCGCTAGCGTCCTACTACTTTTATCGTAAATGGCGCATCCGTTTGCTCGATCTCGCCCATTGAGGACGCAGTTAAAATCACCAAGTAATACATATTTCTTTTCCAAAGTGAAGTGCTGCTTTAGGCTTGAAAAAAAAAGTGATTGTTCCTCACAAATGGTTGGTGCATAAATACACACTATACGCCACTGACATTCATTAAATACAAAATCACATGAAACCAATCTACCAGACGGAGAGAAGATATCTTGCACTACCAGACCCAATAACTTCTTAATGAACAAAACACAGCCTGCAGAAGTGCCTATCGCTCGAGTACAATTGCGTAGTAACGCGCCGTAAACCTCAGCACCATGCCCCGGGTCTCCTCCTCACCGTCTACTTTTGTTTCTTGTACAGCTAGTATATCCAGATCATGATCCACGAGAAGCCTGTAGACTTGGCTCTGTTTCCGCTTGGCGGCAAGACCTCGAACATTTAACGTTGCCACTCTAAGTTTCGGTGCAAAAGCCATGTCTACCCAATGAAGAAGTTAGCCCGGGGCATGATGCTTACATTCAGCGTCTAGCATAGACGCTAGACATATTCGGAGCCTCCATGTGGACCCTTGCCACTGGAGGACAAAGGTGGCCAGTGTTTGTCCAGTATCGGGTTGGAACGCAGCCTTGTGCTGCTGCGTCTGAACGAAGTCGCCTTCGCAGGTGGCCCCTCTTCATGCTTTTCACTGGACACCTCACGCCGTCGTGCAGACTGCTCGCGGGGTCTTTTGCTTGACGCCCCACCACTGATACTCTCGCACGACACTGGAAGTTTGGTTAATTCCACCGGCTCAGGCTCCTTCGATGGGGTTCTTGTGAAGCCTTCTTCGGTTTGGCCGGCTGGCTCTTGAGTAAAATCCCCAGATTCTATGTCTGCTTGGACTGTTGGTTCATCACCACCAGTCGGTGTGGCAGTACCTGTTGAAGCTTCTGGGTGCACCACGTCGCCTGCACCACGTCGCCTGCGGACGTGACCGAGGCTGAAGACGCGCCTTTCGCCGCGTCTTCAGCCTCGGTCACGTCCATCACCAACTCTGCTGTGTCTTCACCTTCAGCTGATCCTATAGCCGATGCGTACGTGCGCATGCACGCGTCTTCGCTGTGGCCAAACCACCGACAACGCGAGCATCGGAGTACCTTACACTCTCTTCTAACATGGCCGGTACCTTGGCAGCGCAGACACTGCATTGGCCGACCAGGTGCAACCACAAGTGCCAGTTCACCAGCCACCCTGATTTGATGCGGGAGATCTTCAACCTTCACGCCACTCTTGAGCTTAAGAAGCACAGTTCGTGTGGTTGACCCCTTGTCGCTGACTCTTTGAACACGCCGATTCTCCCTGGTGACTTGTACGACCTTCCCATAAGTCGCTAACGCCGTTCGCACGTCTTCATCGTTGACGCCATACAGCAGCCAATGAAGACGCAGCCGCACCTGCTGATCCTGGAGGTCTACGATGATGCAGCGTCGACCCTTGACTTTCAGCTCCTTCACGTCCAGCAAGCGTCTCGTAGCGTCCGCGTTGTTCATGGTGACTGCCCAGACATGATTTATCTGGTAGGCCCCCAGTGCCAACACCTCCGGCAGTAGTCCTGTAGGTCCGAGCGCGTCTCGGAAATCTTCTACTCGATACGGTCTGCCACGCACATCACCGTGTAAAAACACAGTGTTCTGCGCGACGCGTCCCTTGGGCAGTGGTGGCAAAATAATATCGTATCCTCCGTCTTGGTCTTCGGTCATCCTGTTACCGCGGCTAGTATGTGCCGCAAACGCCGCTCCTACGGAGCACATGATCTTCGCG